TACTCTTTTGAAGTATTCCACACAGCCAAGTTCGAAGAATACCTCATCCCATACGTGTCCCTGGGAATTGGGTTGTGTGAATGCTTATCCTCTATACTGTGTGTAAGTCTTTTCAGACTTGAGTTTGAAGGAAAAATTTAATGTGGCCAACAATCGTACTTTTCCTTTCTTAGGACTGGGCTCGGGGGAGATTTGCATAACCTAAGACACATCTTCCTGCTTCTGCAAAACCACATGAAGGATGAAAGGCAGTTCTTGTCCCAGATTACTTGCATGAGTGTTTGCCTTTAGACTAATTTTTATCCTGTAAAATAATTTTCTGATGTTCTGGATTAGATATGGGTATGTATGTGTGCACAATTTGACAAATGACAGCAAGCAAGAAAGGGAACTGTCTAAAAAGAGCCCAAGGTTGACTAATAAACACAATTAACTTGAAGAAGTTAATCAAATTCATTAGGAATTAAGAGACTCTCAAATGACATTGATTTATGGATATTATTCAGATAAGTCTTCTGCAAAGAATACATGGGAAGGGGAGGAATTATTTAATTTGAGAACTGGGATTTATGATTTGTGTTTTCTGCTGTTCAGAGCACCCTCATAGACCGGTTTGGGAGGAAGGTGCTGCTTTGGGGAGGATACACACTGATGTGTTCTGTGCTAGCACTGCTTACCATGACCCTGTCCCTGCAGGTAAGGAGGCAGCAACCTTCTGGCCCCTGACTCAGCACCAGCCCACCTTTCCGATCTTACCTCACAGGATATATACAAAAACCTGAGCCAATGGCAGAAAATACAGAGCTCTGCTATTCTATCATGTGTCTAACTGTTTGATATCACTGCTTTCTCACCCTCAGCATCGTTTTTTCTGGATGCATTACTTCAGTGTTATCCTGATCTTCCTATTTGTTGTCTTCTATGGAAGTGGACCGTGTGAGTACATCAATGGTTGTGTTGGGAGGAAATTTTGTATCAGCATCACAACTGGCAGAGGAAGAACACACTAGTGCCATGGCAAAAAAATTCTGGAGCTTAAGGAAGGAAGAACAGACATGTACAAGTGTGAGACAGGAAAAGGATACAGACACCTTGGATTTTATTGCTGATCACAGGTTCTAACTAATTTAAAACACAGTATCATCTCCAGATGAGACAGAAATTTTAGAATGATTTTTAAAATACTCAGCTAAAAACAGGAATCTAGGATTTTGATGTATGTTATAGTAGTCATCTTGCCTATAGGTTATAGTAATCATCTTCATAAACTTAGCAAGTTAAGCTGATGCCTACCAAAATGCTTCAGGTGGAACTGACCCCAGGAGCCAAAAGGGGAGCCAGTTTTATAAATCACTGCACCACTGATGGCTACCAGTGCAATGTGGAACTGCACAGACCCACTGGCACCAGGAAAACAATTCCAGTACATTTGAGAGAAACCTAAATTAACAGTTGGAGTCCCTGTCTGGAATCAAGGTCTTTCACCTTCATAGCAGTGGCCACCTACCAACAGGTCACTTATTCTGCCTGTCTGTCATCTTCTGCCACTGCCATTGTGAGGAACTTCAGCAGGAGCAAGGAAACAAACATTCCTGGGTTGTGTTTGGTTTTTCTTTTTCAGCTGGAGCCACTATAGCTGTCATGGTTGAAATCTTCAGCCAGTCATACAGACCATCAGCCTTTCTGATTGTTGGCTGTATCAACTGGATGGGACTGTTCATACTTGGGATGATTTTTCCACTGCTTGTTGTAAGTGACTCGAAGTGAATCCCTCCTTCCAGGAGAATCCATTTCTGAATGCTGACAGGGAACAAACTAACAGCAAAAAATTGCAATGACATGCAAAGCTTAGAGCTCTGTCCAAATACCAACCCTCCAAGCCTGTCAGAGGAGCAGCAACAGGACTCAGGTCAAACATGGCCAGTGGAAACTCCTGGTTTGATACCTGTCCTGGATTGTGTACTGAGCACACTTTTGAATTTTAACTTCAAAGACACAGGCTTGCACTAAAGGGCAGGGAAATAGAAATGAGATTCTTATTTTCCTTACAGTGTCTCTCATTTCTGCTTGCAGGATAACCTTGGACCCTTCTGCTTCCTCATCTTTTTGGCAATTCTTGCTTTATCAGCAATTTTCATCTACCTGTATCTTCCTGAGACCAAGGGAAAGTCAATCATGGAAATAAAAGCAGAGTTCAACAAACTAAACTTTGGGAAAAAAGAAACCTCCTTCACTGAAAATAACTTTCCTAAGGAACAGTTGGCTTGCACGAAGCTCTGAGTGTTCAGAGGAGAAATTTGCATCTCTTAGAAAAGACAGGAAACAATGTTGCAATAGAACTAAAAGGGAAACATTAAAACCAGACTGCAAGATCTTCTGTCTCGTTTATTTTTTCTTTTCCCTTTTCCTTTTCTTTTCCTTTTTTTTTTTTTTTTCTTTTAATATAGCTATGAAACTCATTATGGTAGAGTTCTATTTCTGGATGATATCTAAACATTTTCCTGGGAAATTTCACCACTCAGTTTCAAAATATAAAGCTGGGGGTTTTTTTCCACATTAAACCCCTTTTATGGTAGTACATCTTACGAATTTTTAGAACATTTTGTTAACAGTCCACAGGGCCCAAATCCTGCTAGAAGAACATACACACAGGCTCTGCTCAAAGTCCTGGACCCACAGCCTCAGTTGGTGTCCCCTGTTCCCAGAGTCCTATCCAATGCCACAGGCACCTGAGCAGTCTGTTATTGGCCTTTCCTAAAGGAGATCTCACTAGCACTAAGTACCTCATAACCAGGAGCCTGCTGGAAAACAGCTCAGAGAAGAGTATCAGAAATATGAAAGACCAAGTAAAATAATTTAAAGGACAAACCAAGAGAAAGAAGGATTAAGAAGGCTAAATGACCACCAGTCATGAGGCTGGGGAAACACAGACGTCTAAGATACTTGGCTAGCAGATGGACAGAGGAAAAGGTAGATATGGTGTTTAGAGTCACCTGAGCAGATCTGGACTAAAAACTTAGCACAGCAAATGAGGAAAAAAGGTTCCAGCAGGACAACAGAAACAAATATTGAACGTGAAGTTGTACTGTGCAACAAACCTTCTGGGGGTGTAATGGCAAGCTCAGTGGAGAACATCCCACTAACTCTAGGCAGGGAGAAGGACCTGCCAGACCGACACATTATTGTACACAAAAGAAGCAAAATGGCTGCTATAAAGTAAAGGACAGTCCCAAGAGCATCTGTGGTGTCTAAGGAACTGATTTCCAACCTGGTACATCAGCTTCTGGGAATTACATCAGATGTTTTCAGAGAAGAAAGAGTTTGTTTTGGAAATGTTTTTCTTGTTATGTAAGCAAGCTGCAAATAACAAGTGATTATTGTACCCAGTAGTAAAAATAGGCTGTGAATTTCATTGGAAATAGCCTAAGTTTTTCCAAGTGACCACTAACAAGTATATTTGTGACAAGATTTGTGACTAAATGCTTTGGGTCATGCCACCTGCTTTCCACTAACCACTGAAGAAAAAAAAAAATCAATATTACAAACTACAGTTCCTTTCCTTACAGATGAAGGTGTCATTTGAGTTTGTTTTTAATGTGCTGACTTAGGAAATGTGCTCTGAAAAGGCCCTTTGTAGAAACAGATTTTATTTCTGGTGTTTTTTCAGGGTTTTCATTATTTTCAGAATGCTTTGCATACAGGAGACATGGTCCACTAACATGGGCTGTAGATGAACACTGACACATAGTAATTCATCTCCTGACTTTTTATTTGCTGACTTTTTACAGCAAGGGAGCTACAGTGAAGGAACTGACTTAAAACCAACATATACCACACAATCACAGAATCACAGAATGGCTTGGGTTGGAAGGGACTTTAAAGATCATCCACTTCCAACCCCTCAGCCATGGGCAGGGATGTCACCCACTAGATTGGGTTGCTCAGGGCCCAGTCCTGACCTTGAACAAAATCAACTTAAGCATGTTCTTACAGAGGCTTTCACCACTTAAAAAGCATTGGTTTAAATTACACAGTTACAATACAAACGTTTAGTCCAAGCTACAGAAAGCTCTTCCTCTTTTCCACAGCCTGGGGAATCAAGTGAGTAGAAAAGCCCTTACCTCAGAAACTACTGGGTATAAAGATACTCATCACCTCTAAGATGGAAAGATTAACAAACCACTTATTTTACCCCCATCAGTATTTTCAACCTGCCCTCCCCACACATCTCACTGCAAACACCCATTACCCAGTGCCATATGATCTTTCTAAATCACTTCTCTCATGTAAGGCTCAACTAGGCAGCAATGAGAACTGATCCCAGCTCTGCCACAAACTCACTCTGGATAAAAGCCTCTCATGTCAGAATGCCTGTGGATTTCCTATCTCTCGAGAGTTATGATTGCTATGGGACTATTTGCACAACAAAGGAGCAAGTTGAAAACAAGCCCTCTCCAAGCATGTAGAAACCAGTGCTCACCACAGTGGAAAATCAAGACCTAGATTTTAAGGCATCTTTGTCATGACTTAGTCATGGCTCAGGAAAGGTCTGCACAACATGTGCTACTGGGGTTTTTCTGTTATGGTCTATTCCACAGAAACAGTTCCAGACCTCACAACTGAGTCATCCATCTCATTTTTTTTTTAAATAATCATGACTTGCATGAAGAGGTACATTATAACTCTCTGTAACACTCGCTTTTTCACTGGTTTCACGGTCAGGTTGTATCCAAATGTGAAGTGTCATCTTGGATGCTTTGGTTTCCACAGTGCAAAAGCCAGGTTGCCTCCCAGGACAGTCCATTGGCTGTCTGTGTGAGCAGCCTGCAGATGGCACTTGCAGCCTCTCCCGAGGCACTCCCACCCCTCCGGGTGCACCTGTGGAAAGTGTCACTGACTATTTAAAGGCTCCCGAGGTGCTCACCGGCACAGTGTGGGGAGCCAGCTCGCAGGTGAGTTAGAAACAAAGCTGTGAAAGAAAACCTGCTTGTGATCCAAAGATGCCTAAATTCATTGTTAACACAAATGTAAGCAAGGATAAGGTTCCAGAATCTTTTACAGGGGAGTTCATGCAACAGTTATCAAAAGCATTGGACAAACCAGCACAGGTAAGTCCAGATGCTCAAATGTTTTCCTTCTTTGGCCAGTTGTGCCTATGCAATGAGTCATTTCTCAGTGATAGCCTTGATAAACTAATATACCTAATGACTCACCAGTATTTGCAGTCCTCTCTCTGTGAAAATATCAAATACTTGTTTGCTGTAACTTGAGGTCTCAAAGCACTGAAGTATCTAAACAAGCTTTGTGTGGGATGATATTTCATATAGGTCTCTGTGTAGGTGAAGACACAGGATGTGTGTGGGTGTGCATGCACAGGTATCTCTGTGAATACCTCTCAAGAATCTGGCTGATTGAAAGCAAAAGTCACCCTCAGCTTCCTCACTGAGACCTGCTGAATATGTATGTGCTTATTGTCTGCCACCAACTTGCCTGTAGCCTAGTGGTTACAGCTGAATTAAAACATGAGTCATTCAGCTTGCTTGGACATCTAGCAAAAAACTAGTATTCTTATGTAAAACTGATGTGTTCTACCCATTTTTAAAAAGCCAATTATTTTATCAGTCTAGCAAACAAGCATTAGCTGATGGGGGCGTGGGGGTGTGTCAGCTGGTGGTTCTTGCATAACAGCTCCTGAATATAAAGCTAGAGGCCAGGGCTGGGATGCAGCTGGAACAGGTTTGTGCAGCTGTGTGGAAGGGATATGTAACGGGACTTAGAAATATACAGGGAATAACAAAGAGATTTTTCTGAAGAGAACATACAAGATTTTCGTGACAAAGGAGGCAATAGGAAAGGGAGAGTCTCTTAGTTATAACACAGAAAGAAGGAAAGGATTAGGCTGGGCTGGAATGCAGAGCTTTCCTCTCACAGGAAACTGTAGCACTTGAAAAACATACTGATTTTTAATCAAATAGGGTTTTTTCCTACTGGATGAACTGTCTCAAATATCTCAAACTGCTCTGAGAAGAAAATAATGCCAATTAATGCTTTTGTTTGGTTTGAATTAATTTTTTTTTTAAATAATAATAATAACCTGCTTCCAGGGTAGATGTTAAAGACCTACAAGTACCTGCATTTGGCATAAAGTTGAGACCGCACAGTGTCCAGCCAGGGCAGAACAGGGCCAAGCAAGTGGTACCTCAGCATGATCTCCTTGGCTTATCCTGTACTGCTGTGGTCTGCTGCACCTTGCACCCAAACAAGCTGTAAATCATGGCCAAGACTAATTACCCAGACAACTCCTGGTACTCAGGCTGGCTTGTTTTACCAAGAGGGTTAATTGCTGCTGAGTTCCAACGATGCGCTGCTAATAAACGTGGGTAAGAACAGAACAGAAGCTAGATGGATGCCAAAGGAACTGATCCCCAGATTCCCCAGTGTGTGGATCTGACACTGTGTATTAGCAGCAGGGAAAATCGCAGGCTGGTCATTAATATTAACATAGATACTTTCTTCTATTTTTCCTGATATCAAGAACAAAAGTAGGATTAGGCTGTATTTTGTTTAATGAGGGGGATGTTGATTTAGACCTCTGCTGTGTCAGTTCACATTTACCTCAGCAGGGAAGACTGCAGCAGGAGGCAGTGAGGTGCAAAATCTCTCAGGAACGCAGTGCGGCAGCAATGCAATTGCAACCCCCCATCTCTGACCTTCCCACATGGGCAGGGAGGGCCCAGTGGCTCAGAAGAGGTTCTGGAGATATTGCAGGTCACTGAGCTCCTGGAGCACCTGGACTAGAAACCAAGACTCCCAAGCCTAAATAGTATGCTGTCTTTGTACCAGCCCTTGGCACAGCAGTGACTGTCCTGGAGCAGAATGTAAATCTAGACAGTAAGATGTCAATGCATCAAAAGCACGTACGTATTTTCACTGCAGTTCACGTACATAAATACCTTCCTGGATTTTCAGAACTTTTCTTAATATGGCAAAGGAAAATAATATTCCTTTTCTTCTTCCAACAGTATCTAGCAATACAGATCTCTCCTGATCAGATGATGTCCTTCGGTGACTCCACAGACCCTTGTGCTATGTGCTTTCTCTACAGCGTTGGCAAGATAGGAGAGCAGGAGAACAGGGTCTACTCCAAATTGCTTTGTGATCTGCTGAACAAAGAGCTGAAAATACCATCTGACAGGTGAGCCCACACAGCAACTTGTCTGATGTGACTTTCCGCAGATTGTTAAAACTATTCATCCCAAACTTTTCTTTTGGTGTTCTTTGTCAATGTGCTATTTGAAGAGGCCAAATGCCAAGTCAATTGGAAGGACTCTCCAGCTAAAAAGAAGAAAGGAGCAATTGCAGGAGCCACAATGTTGATATCCAGAAACCGTAAAATTTCTTAGTTAAAATTATGTGTGTTCAGGCACTGCATGTACCCACAGATCTCATATGCAAAAGCCCAGGTACACACACAATAATTTTGTTATTATAATGATAACTTGAGGGACATGTACCAACACTTCCCTACTGCCTTTGGGATACATGTGGAGGTCAACTGCAAGAGCTTTCACTCGCATAAAAGCCTTTCTAGTGCTTTTCCTCAAGGTGTGCTCCAGAAATGACTGTGAATAAAACACAGTATCCTGAGAGCTCCTTGAAACAAGAAGTAGAAAACCATTAAGAACTCCAGAATGCACAAAAAGCATTAAAAGGGAGGGAGTGCAAGGCCTGAGAAGTGTAAAGCCCTGTGGGACAGTCCACAGCATGGCTGTGTGTCCTGTTGCAGGAGCACCCTGGCCAGCCTGCAGCACTCTGCTCTCAGCAGCTAATGGTGTCTGTCTTCTCTTTCAGAATCTATGTCAGCTTCTCCAACATCAGTGCTGGCAACGTGGGCTGGAACAACACCACCTCTGCTTGAGGTGCCCTTGAGTGGTAAAAGTTTATTCCTGACCCCTCACCCTGGTTTCATCATGTTACCACTACCTGACAAATGCAAAAGGCAATGGTACCGTAGTTGCTGCTACCCACTGCTGTTTAACATCTTGTCTGCCACTTAAATAAAAGTAAAAATCCAGCAGAAACCTTATGACTGAGACCATCTTGTTACTCTGGAAAGACCTGTGATTGAGATGGAAGGTGCCCTCTCAAAATACTAGTAACAGAAGCTTTTCTTTTAAAAGCAGTTTGGTCATGGATGATGATGAACACTCCATTTGGATACGTCTTTGCTCTATTCATGCTCAAGAGCCTGGCCAAATTTAAAGGAACTATCTTGATCTGATGTCAAGATACATTTAAGTCAATAGATGTGGCTATAAATGTCGCATATGGACCTTCCTTCCAAAGGAGGAAAGAAATTATTGCCTCTTATTTATAAGGGATGGATTGCAGTCTGGGTCCTCCATCTAGCACTACATGGACATCTAGCTGATTAGCAGAAAAACTTGTGCTGTGAGTCTCCCAGGGCTCAGCATAGGCAGTAGGAGTGAGTGGAAAAAACCACCGTTCGCTGTTCTGCCCTCCCCTTTTCATCCACTGAACAATCTGTAGTGACAGCAAAGATTAGAGCATGGCTCAGAATGAGGCAGAGGCACAGCAAGCCATTCCCAGTGGCTGAAGTGGTGAATTAATTATGAAAGGAAGATTTGCATATAAATATTTATTATTCAAGCCCTTGGTCAGATAAGATCATTTGCTTCCAAAGTAAAATAAAAGACTGAGTAGAGATAAATTTCCTGAAAATCTGCAGTTAGGTGTATTGTGACTTTTTTCTGGAAGAGTAAACTCTATCACACCCCTGTTCCGAGCTCTATTGTGAACACCCCATTTTGTCCCTATCACAGCTTTGCTTTGCAGACACAGGCTTTAAATACAAGCCTGCATCTCAACCTGCAAAAATGCTTTGTTGGGATAACAAATGAAAGCTGCTTTGGTGAATCAAAGCAGCACAGCCAGTAAAACAATGTGCTACTTGGCATCTAAATACAGTATATCTTTTTAAATACTGTTCATGCCACTTTAAGCCATGTGGAGCTGCCTGTTGAGGAAGGAAGACTTGACACTAGGTATGTATTCTTTGGGCAGAATGGCCCCTAAACACAGCAGGACCTTCCACAGGGAGGCAGTTTCCTTCTCCAGAAATCAGTCTGCCTTCTTCATAGAGCCACTCGCTCAAAGAATGCTGCCTCTGCTGCTCTTGGAGCCACAGCACCAGCATTCTCTGAGGTTCTCCTGGCTCCTCCTCCCTGGTCTGGTTGCCCTGTGCTCAGGTTTTGGCTGTGGCGCAGTTGGGTGTGTACAACTGCAACCCGTGGATGCCCCTGCCCTTTGCAGTCAGTCTCCAGGAGAGGTTTCAGCCTGCCCCACATACCTCCTGAGGCCTTTCTGTGGTGGATGCTTTCAGAGTTGTACTCAGAGCATCCAGATGCTGGAATGTGTGTTCCTAAGGCACTTCATGGCACAAGTACAAATGAGACCACCTTTGCTTGCTAACAGTCCTTATACTCTCCAATAGGGAATGTAGAAGCTGCCTTTGCCTCTGTCTCTGGCACATCATCAGAATGCTCTTTGGCATATTTCTATAAAACATTTTATCTTTCAATTTTTTGCTCTTAGACACATTTCTTCACTGTTCTTATTTTAATCACAGGCAATTGTTTTAAAAACGGGTCCCGGGCATCCAGAAATTGTATTATGAAGGTAGGAATGCCAAGCAATCACTTGAGGGACCAGTACACTGGTATTTGGTAAACTGCTAAAAATGCATCTTAAGAAGCTATGAAAGTGTATGCACTGCTTCTTCCTTGGTCAGGGAGGCAAAGGAGAACAACACTGCAGATGTCTCTCCATTGCATGGCAGCACGGCCAGGGGTTACCACTCAGCCTGGCAGGCCACAGAGCAAGCACACCATATGGTGACATTGCTCTCAAGTTTTTCTCCCTGCACGGATGGAATTCCCACCCCACCTCCATGCAACAAATCTGGGAGGCAGGAGGATGGAAGGAATAAGAGGCAGTGTGCAATGGCAGGGAGCTGAGGTGAGGATATCCAAGGAAGAAAACTTAATCAGTTCTTAATCGCTGTTTTTAATCACTGTTAATTGCTACAAAAAGAAGTGCTCCTGTTCTCAACATTACAGTCTGTGTCACTCCTAAGGATTCCTATGCAACATCATCCCTTATTCCTCATTCAGGGCTATGTGTGCTCACGGGTGTGACATGTACATATGGTCAAGCTCTGTAGCAGCAGCAGTGGCTGGGACTTTGTTAAAACAATCAGCACGTGCTTGATCCCTGTGTGTAAAATGTCTGGGTGGAGAGGCTCTGGGCCTGATCCTCTTTAGCCTTCCTGTGAGTCATTTGGCCCGGCAGAGCAGCGCTGCCGCCGTCGGGGCAGGGAAGAGGCAGCGCGGGGAGCTGTGCCCTGGCAGCCTACGTGCATCGCATCACACAGCCCAGCATACGGCTCGGCTCTGCTGCCCCTCACCTCCGAACAGACACGCACCGCTTCATTCTAAGCAAACGAAAAAATCACCTCTGCCTTTTTCCAGAAGAAAAAAGTACGTGAAAACGGGGATGCTGAGGAGTAACAGATAATTTTTGACTGAAAAATGTTATATAGAATAATTAATATCCCAGCAAGGCAAACGTTTCTGCTTACATCGAGTTAAAGCTATGCACACATTTAAACCAAAAATTATACAAATGCGCCTTTACTTTGAAAAAATAAAGATACCTTCCGGAGGAAGGGCGAATATCCTTTTTTTTGCAACTGCCAGGCTAGGGCCTATATCCCTCGCCCGTTCCGTCCCGCCGTGCCGGGCCTCCTGCAGAAGGCAGTGGGCGTACTACAGCGGTGGTACCACATGTGTGCTGAGACCAGGTTATGTATGAGGTGCCCAGCGCGCCCGGACGCCGCTCCAGGAAGGCGCCTGCAGCAAACCCTCAGAAAATGTCCAGTGCTAGCAACAAATCAAACGAATAACTGCGGAGCAGGGGTAGAGCTGTGACGGGGAGGCTGCTACGGGAGAGCTGCGCACGCCGCACTCCGCAGCGAGGGCGGCAGAGCGGGGAGGCGGGATGTGTGCGTGCCCCCCCCCCCGCTCCCTCCCCTCCCCGCCGGGCGGGGCCGCTCTCCGTCCGGCGCGGCCCCGCGCACTAAAAGCGGCGCCTCCACCGCCTCCTCGCTCCAGTGCGCTGCTCCCGCCGCTCCGTTCCCGCTGTCGGCCCTGTCGCCCCCGCTGCCGCCACCATGCCCATGTTCGCTATCTACACCAATGTCTGCAAGGACGCCGTGCCCGACAGCCTGTTGGGCGACCTCACCCAGCAGCTGGCCAAGGCCACCGGCAAGCCCGCGCAGGTGAGGGCGGGCGGCGGGGCCGCCCGGGCCGGGAGCGGGGCGAACACGTGCGGGCCGGAGGGGCGGCGGGCCCGGCGCGGGGAGGCGCCGGCGGGGCGGCCGCGGGGCAGCGACCCGCTCTCTGGGCTCCCGGGGGCGGGCGGGCCGCGGCCGCCGCCCCGCTGCTGCGGGGGAAGGGGCTTGTGCCCGTGCCCTCCCTCCTCCTCGCTGCTCCGTAGAAGGGGCTTGTTACCGTTCCATCCCATCGTGCCGGGCCTCCCGCAGCCCGGCCCCTGCCCGTGCGGAGGCCGCCAGCCCGCGGCGGCAGCGCGGCCTGCAGGGGCTCGGCGCTCACGTAGCCGGGGATGTGCTGCGCCTGTGCTGGCGGTCGGGATTTGAGCGGCGGAGCCGCCCGGGCAGGGGCTCGGGCAGATGCCGAGCGCTCCTGCGGGCTGTGCCTCCCTCCGGGCAGCTCCCGGTGGTCGCGCCATTCGACACGGCCCCCTTGGGCCGGACTGCCGGAGCCCGATGAGGCCGATTCGCTGCCAGGCTCTGGGGCGGGCCCGGTGGCTCAGGCCGTGCTTTGGGGATGTGAGCTCTGGCACGCACAGATTTGGGGCCTTTATCTCCCCGTGCCGCGGGTGCTGTGGCGGGCAGGAGTGCCCGTGGTGCCGGCGGCTTTGCACACACAGCCTCATGCCTAAAGCTGAGAGCCGGGCCGAGGGTCCCCGCAGCCCCCACGGCCGTACCCCCCTGAGCTGCTGATGCCTCCCCTGGGTCTGGGAAGGGCGCAGAGGGCAGGGCTGATGAGCAGCCTGACACCAATACAACTGCACTGTTTAAAGATGGTCCCTAAAGCAAGTTTGTGTCAGGGGAGGGCGGGTCAGACGGACTGTAACTGTGTTTTCTTCCCGCAGTACATAGCTGTGCACATCATACCTGATCAGATGATGTCCTTCGGGGGCTCCACCGATCCCTGCGCACTCTGCAGCCTCTACAGCATCGGCAAAATAGGAGGGCAGCAGAACAAGACTTACACCAAGATGCTGTGTGATCTCATCTCAAAGCACTTGCATGTATCTGCAGACAGGTAAGGCTGGGACATGGATTAACCTTATATATCTGGCTTCCTGAAACTGATTTCAAAAGTTGGTTTAAAAATACAAAAACCCAGAAATAAGTCCATGTGCTTGGGAAAACATGAAGTGATCGCTTGCATCACTTTCACGTCCAATTAAGAGTTTGATGCTGGTGTCTTTCCCAGGACAGTTCTCTCTTCAATGGCTTCCTCCTCTCAGGGCAGGGAAAAACACCACAGCACTGACAAGTTGCACAGTGTCTTTTGCCTCTGAGGTGTGATGCCTTGTCCTCTGTGAAGGGAGGCTTAAAGCACACGGGAGGAGCAGTAACAGGCTGGAGCTGAAAGACAGAGTAGAGGCCAGCAGGCTGTGAGCAGCTCCCTTGTGAGCTGTGGAGCCTTGGGAAAGTGTCTGTGAAGGATGGGGAGAACCTGCTGCCATGGGAGCTGGAAGGGAGACATGCAGAGCCAGCCCTGAGAGCCTGCCTGGCTCTCCAGGGCT